ACCATACACATTTCCTTTGTATAAACAGGATACATTTCCTTCGTATAAACAGGACATTCATAATGGCTACTAAGTAAACCTTGTATTTATACACCAGTCAATTGAAAGCTTTTTTTCTTGATGCAATGTTCCAAATCGTACAGAAACTTCAAATAATCTTAGCACATTCAGCCATTTTACCATGTAAACCACAAAATAACAATGTACTTCACATACAACACACAAACAAGCCTTTACAAATCTTTTCCCGTCATTCAAAATTCCCTGCAATCATTTAACCAATTACATCATAATAGGGTTTCCATAACATTCAGCTACTCAGGTTAGCATAAATGAAACAACAAATTGGCAATAAATGAAACAACTTAGCAATAATCCAAGGGGCACCCTTCAGTATACTCTAAAACATTCCAATTATTCGGCATCCATATTTTAAATAGCATGGATGTCTATGATTGTAAATGGCAATACGAATCCTGCATGTTAAGGAGTGAATGGCATAATGTCATCTTAGATCCCAATTCTATCGGTAGCAGCTTGTGGCATTTCTACCATAACTTACAAATCCATTCCTGAATATGTGCCGTACAAGATCAAGCAACTGGTGTTATAATATAGAGGGCTACTAATCTAAGCTTTATAAGGATTTTGAATAATTAGCAGCAAGAATATTGAAGAATTTAGAAAGAAAATTCCTTTTAATATACATTCAAATTCCCATAATTCAAAATTTATCGAGTAATTTCGATGCAATTTATGCATAATATTTAACAATCGTACTCAGGCATTTAATCTTAAAGTTCCTTGCTAGTTTCCTTTTTTTTAAAAACTTTCTGATTACTTACAGGCAAATCACCAAAATGTCATAAAATAGTATTCATAATGTAAAGATCAACCAATATAAGCCACCAAAATAGAAATGTGGCAACCCACAAAGTAGTTAATTGCCAAAAAGTACTTATGTTGCAAGCCAGACATGCATGTAGCACGTATTCCGTATTCCGGCTAGTGCATAAAACCAAAGCTGCATGGGTATTGAATTTGTGCAGTTCTCTACTTTTTTTTTTTTTTAATAAAAACAGACTGCTGCATACATGGGGAGAATAACACAAACAGGGATTGCTTGAAAAATTATGCTTTTAATTTGACTGATTTTCCTTGTGTGGAATTCTTAGGGCAGAACCATTTTGAAAATGGCTGTTGCCTTTTGCACTTTAAATTAGTGAAAAATTAGTTGGCAACAAGTTAGGACTTTTCCTTGCATGTGCAAATAATCAGAAAATACCTTTTTCTTTTTTCCTTTCAAATTTAAGCACTATTTCTTATCTAAATGATCAAAAGCATATCAAAATTTCAGTAATATGTTTCAAAATGTAAATATTGAAAAAAATATAAAATGAATATAATTCTCATTTTCTAAATAATAAAATACTTTCTTTGTATGAGCACTACACAAAAAAATTTTTATTAGTTAATTATAACCCGAATTTTAAAGCAGGTTAGCTATCAATGAAGTGGATAACTACCAAAGATATGACAAGTGATATAAAATACATACAGTCAAGCCTATTTTATTGTAAAGATTTGAAGCAGGAACAAAAATTAGCCAAGATAAAACCAACTTATTTATTAAGACACAATAACACGCCGAACAAATACTAATTCAGAAGTCAAACAACAAAAATCAGTGTTATTTTGAAAATTTTGAAAATATAATGCTGATTTTTGTTGTTTGACTTCTGAATTAACAACTCATTTAGGTTGATCTTTACATTATGGTAACTTGGCGTTTTTTTGGCGAAAATTTGGCGACCTACTCTACTACAGCAACCCTCTATTTTTGTTTTCCCGCCGCCATTTTGTCTTCACGAAGTAAAGACATGTTTCTTTTCTTTTTATCTACTGAACACTTCTTCCAACAATCTACTACCCGAATTACACTTATGCTAGAAATTTTATCTAACAAAACTGCATAATCATGACAAATATTCACTGCAAAATTGGGAAAAAGTCCACAATACCATACTCCTTACGCGTTTTTCAAAATAACACATACACATAAACCATGTACACGCCGACTTATTTTTACTTAAAAAAAAACATCCCAGAATTACACAAAAATGGCATTGCGCACACTCTTCACTATATCCATGTACACTGCTTTTTTCTCATAAATTAGAAAATTTCACGAAAATACGTGACAATTTTCTGAATCTTTAAACCCGGTAAAAAGAACATATATGAAATTACCTGATCGCGAAAAAGTTTATACCCTTTCCAAATATGAACATTTCCACATATAAAATAAATAAAATATCCAAAAACTTTTACCTCTCAATCATCTATTATATTATACACGTCACCAACGAATTCATACCGCAAGCATTACAAATACTTAGTGTCAAATATTTAAATTATTTCCATGCACGTTTACTTCAACTTAAACGTATACCAAATTCCTACAAACATAAAATTCACAAAATAACTATCATTTAATTAAAATATCACTAAACCATGTACACGTCGACTTATTTTTACTTAAAAAAATATCCCAGAATTGCACAAAAATGGCATTGCGCACACTCTTCACTATATCCATGTACACTGCTTTTTTTTTCATAAATTAGAAAAATTTCACGAAAATGCATAACAATTTTCTGAATCTTTAAACCCGGTAAAAAGAACATATATGAAATTACCTGATGGCGAAAAAGTACATACCCTTTCCAAATATGAACATTTCCCCGTATAAAATAAATAAAATATCCAAAAACTTTTACCTCTACATTATCTATTATATTACAAACGTCACTAACTAATTCATACCTTTACTTCATTACAAATGGTTACAAATACTAAGTGTCAAATATTTAAATTATTTCCATGCACGTTTACGCAAATTACTTTACTTCCACCTTACATTTAGAACAATGCATAAAAATAATATCCTCAAATAATTAAAAATACTAACTTACCTATCCTTCTTCAGAATCTTGATTACGTGTCCGATAAACTTTTCTTATTTCTGTTTCAGGATCTTTAAAATCATACTTATAGTTAACACCAAGATACCAGGTAAAATAAATAACTTAATAAAACATCTTTACTTCTATCTCGCACAACCTTAAAGAAACACTTATTACTACTCCTTTCAATCCCACTAAATACCCATTTCGAGTTCACTTTAGTTAGGGCCATGGGATCCAAAAATTAACGAACACTGTTTCACACAACACAGAATAAAGGCAAATACAAAATTTCCAGATTTTTTCCCGATTAAAGAACCGTAATTCGTCCATTAATATTACATGACATATCACATGATCTCTCATTTCCCTCAGCTCACCAGCGGCCGAGCGGTAAAGTCGCTGAACACTGGTAGTTCGGTCCAAGGTTCGAATCCCGCGAACGAGCTGGCTACATGGGCGTTTTCGTGGTTTTCCCCATGTGTAACGTGTATACGAGCCAGTTTCCCTTAGAAAGTCCTCCACGAAGGCATCCCTCCCTTTAGGCAGATAGCCCTAGTGTGCTTTGCCATAATTAAATACACCACACCACCTCATTTCCCTCACACAAAATAATGCGTAATCGGAACTGAGTACTGCTCACATTATTACCAAAGTCCCAGGTAGTAACCTTTATCGCCTCCAAAAATGTCGCCAAACTACCAGTTACCATATTGTAAAGATCAGCCCTCATTTATAATTCTAATGTTTAAGCATACAAAAATACTATTAAAAAATATTCAGCGGCATTCTTTTACTAAATGTGATTGGAATTAATACTGTATCACACAGAAATGATCACACTCTTTTCCATAAAGATGATAATATACATGCACACATATGAACATACTGAAAATATATCTACCTGTATCTAATTTTATAAATTCTTCAGAATTTTACACACTTCTTATAAAAGCAATGTACTGCTGGAAATTCAACTTCTAAATGCTAACAAATTCTATATTCGAGATCGTGAAATACTGGTATTAGTAATATATCAGTGTAACTCTTAATTTAAACAAAAATTTGCTCATTTGATTGTAACAAAGTATATTAGGGCTATCTATGTCAAAAAGGAATGCTTCGTTGAGGACTTTCTAAGATAAACTGGCTCATATTTTAAGTTACCTATGCAAAAAGTGATAAATTAAAATACTCACTCACCTAGTTTGTTTGCCATGATTTAAATCCAAGTCTAACTACTGATGTTTAGCTACATACTTTACCGGTTTTACTGATAAGCCAGACACAAAATTAGTTAAAATTTTTTATAGACTGCAAAAATGCACTGCTTCTTATAAATAATTTTGATATCTAAATATAAAAGAAAGAAAACAGGAAATTTGAAAATTAAAATGTACAACATACTTTAAAGAACATTAATCTATATTTTTTTATTTGAATTTATCCTAAGCTAATTATTTTATGGTCCTGCATAATTTTGCTTTATCTTCAGATGAGGGGGAATTGCTAAATTATAGGCTCCGATTCCCGCTATTCTTAGTAAGTTTTCATTTTTATATATTTTAAGCGTAAAGATATTTATTTCTTACAATTCCAAATGAATGTGTTTTAATTTCGAACAACCGTCGGAATATTAAAGTATTCGATAAATTCTATGAGACACTACCAATGAAAAAAAAATACATAAACACAGTAATTTGTAACTATTAAACAAACAAAAGATTTATTATTTAAGCACTGATGCTTCCATAAAATAGATTTAAGTACTAAATTACCCTTCCACCGCAAAAACATTAACATAACTTAAATAAACAACATGCAAGCATACTATATCATTGCAAGAAAAGTTTTATTATATTCTCAAGCTTAGCACCACAAAAACATATTATTCCAAAACAGATTTACCCCAAATGTTCTTTCTTCACGCACCTCCAATATTCTGCTACAATGTGCACATGAAAAAGGTTGCAAATTATTAATCTATGCAGTAAAATCTCTAACAAACAAGGAAAAAAGCACTGTTGGACAAACCTTCAATTGAAAGCCATTTGTTTCCTCCAAGTCGTGGCCAGAAACATATTTCACCTGGAATTTGCGCGGTTTCTTCGGTAAACTAGTATATCAGTCGTAAAAAAACAAGAACTATTAGTTTCACATTACTTTAAATCCATATAAATATAATGTTTAAAAAAAAACTATTCATTAGACAATCAGCTGCCATCTTGAACAACGCGCCGGGTTTGGATACCAAATGCAAATTACTGCGTTTTCTAAAAAATATGAAAAAAAAAACCACTTTTCCAACACCTTGCAGTGTTTGGACGCGTCGACCGCATTCCCTCACATTTCTAAACAATTGATTCCAAAACTCTGTCTTGAAGCTGTAACACACCTTTCTTGGTGACAAAAATATTCAATAACTTGCCAGGATCAAGGTTTTGACAAATTCGTAAGTAAACATTTATATAAGTATGAATGTACATTTTTTCTTTTCTACACTATTTTTTCAGTTCTAAGTATGCGAAATACATTTTTAAACAGCATTATAAAAAATGCTATACTTTTCGCTGAAGAATTTGCTTAGAACTGTTTTAATTTGAATGAAATGTTTTTACAAGTTTTCGATAAATTACATTAGAAAGAAATTTTAAGGTAATTCGATTAACAATTACCAAAATTATTATTTCTTTTCACAGAACGTCTTTCTGAAATACTTTATCAAATATGAGATGATTTTCTGATACGTCAAATCAAAGATAATAGTCACTTTATGATTAATGCTTTGTTTGGTTCATTTTACATCGCAGCCTCTTTTATTTTAATAATTAAATACGTTAATTATTATAGCTGATTTCTGATTTCCATACCCTTAACTTTCTACGAGTATCAAAGGGAAGGGGTGTTGATAATATCATGTAAAACTTGTAGCTGAATCATTATAAAATGTAAAGAAATAATTCTTTTAATACTTAATCAAAATTTTTTACTGTTAATTTCAGAATTTTAACACATGTACGCATCTCATAGACTGTGCTTTACCTTTTAACAGATTGTTTCCCAGTACGACCAATATAGTTGTCTACAGAATTTCAGTTTATGTTTTCAATAAAATATTAAGATCTCGTTATAAATATATATCTGTATAATAACTAGATTTCTATATGCATAAATACCCATGCATATTTAATATATTTTCATTTTAAGCATGCGAAAATCTTTAATTTCTAGTAATTCACTATATTTTTCAACTAAAATCATTTACAATAACTTAGATATATAAGAAGATTTTACATAAGAAGTATGTATAACTATAAATTGAATGAAAAGTACGTGCATTATTTTTAATATGACGTGAGTTTTCCTTGGAAATCCTCGATCATCTCTCCCCGTAGGTAGAGCTACTAGAGATACTGAATATAGTCTTGACGTGATACTTCTACAGGAACACAAACATAGTCCAAGTGCATTCTTCGGTATCGGAAAATACATATTATAGAGGTTTGACAGAAACAGAATAAGCCAATGTCCCGCGGTAGGTTTAATTATTCTTACTAAGCGATCCATCGCCCATTATCACAACACATTACCACAGCGTTTAGCTCTTGAGGCCTTAGCTATTACTATCACTTCATTGACCTCACGAGATGTTATTTTGCAAGGTTTTGAAACTTTATTCCGGCTCAACAACAGAATTATTTTAGCTGGAGACTCTGACGCACACCACCGCGAGTGCAACTGCACTAATCATACATTCATTGGAAACGTAATTTACGCTCTGTCCGTGGGGCTGGTTTTACGATTGCAGCTCTACAAAACACGCTAAGACGGTACATCATCGTCAGTACTGGATTTTTTCCTGCTGCTTATTGTGCCCCATAAGCACGTGGAAAATCTGAGTGAACTCGCCTCGGATCACAACCCAGTTTATGATTGAACTTGATGTCTCTGCTCATGATCCATCACATAATAAGGCCTTTATTACCAACTGGTCTGGGTATACGAAAGCCTTAAACAGCACGCCACTATTCATTCCAACACCACACATAGGTGATGAGTTAAAAGGCGTAATTAGGACCTTCACCATAGAACTACAAAGTGCCCTGCAGAACACCAGTACTTCTATCAATGGTAGAAGAAAAACGTACAACAAAGAGCTCATTAATCTCGTCAGGAAGAGAAATGCAGCAGCTAGGCAATGGCAATGCTCAAGCTATCCTCCGGACAAAGCTCTGCTCAATCAATTAAACTACCAAGTCAGGATCCTGGCACGACAACACGCAGACAAAAGCTGGGCTCTCAGGGGAAGATAACTCTATTTGGAAGGCCACTTCGAAATTTCAGAGATTCTACCCCAACATTCCGCCCTTAACTGGTCCACATGGAGTTGCATACGCAAAGGCTGAGAAAGTTAAGTCGCTAGTCAATCACTATGCTACTCAGTTCTACACTAACAACATATCCCACTCACCCACCGAAGCTACAGTCTCACTTAGAAACTTCGCAACAAGACCACACACTGACAACATTCCTCTAGTCAAGCTCTCGGAGGTCTGGAAGTACGTGGAGAAGCTTAAGACGAGTCTGGGCTTGACATGGTCTCAAATAAGATGTTAAAATACGCGGGTCTCCATGTGCTGCTAAGGCTTGTTAAAATCTTAAATGCTGTACATGCGGGCGAAGCATATGCAATAACAGGTCTGAGAGCCATCATATACAAAATTCTCTTCTTCTTTAGAAGCAAATCTGTGTAATACCAGTTAGTTACATTAGAATGTTCATAATACCTACAGCTTTACAGCGAATTTTATTGGTGTGATTATTCCAGTTCCTTTTTTCATTTAGTGTGATACTGACTTGAGGGATCTCGATGTTAAAGAGGTAAATTTTTCTACTGACAGGCGTGTTCACCCATTTTCTACAAGTTATTAAATGTTGTGATTTATGCGCATTAATAGATATTCGTCCCACGGTGAACCATTCTTCAATCGAAGGAATAAATTTGGCAATTTCATGAGAGCATTATTGGCATTTTCAGACTTCACAGCTAAGGCTGTGTCGTCTGCGTAACATCCTAAAATTAATTATTATCCAAATAAGGCTTGAGAGAATTTGAAACAAAGAATAAATAGAGGATGGCGCCAATAATGGACCCTTGCGGGACGCCAGCGTTAATATTCTGAAGATCAGAGCGGTCTTTACGAAATTCCGCAAAGAGGAAGGAAATCTGCCTGTGATGAAGACATTATTAACTCGATGAGTTTTCTTTGAAAACAAGATTTAATGAGCTTGTCGATAATCCTCTCGTGCCAGACGCGGTAGAAAGTTTTCGCCAAGCTCAGCATGAGTAAGGTGATAATATTTCTATTAAACAGAGCCGCTCCAATAAACTCGGTGAACCTAAACAGTTACTTTGTCGTAGAGAGGCTTTTCCTGAATCCGAATTGTTCGGGGAAAGCAAGTTCATGTAGTGCTGGATTCTGTTGAGAAATGATACGTTCATAAATTTTGGCAGTCCAGGTAACAGACTGATAGGCCTGTAACCATCAGCTTTAGTTGTGTCTTTGCCTTAGGGATAAGAATAATCTTGGTTATTTTCCTTGATTTTGTGAAATATGAATGCGTTAGACAGATGTCTGAAATACTAGTATATTTGCTTATAATACTGTGCGGGAGATTCTTGATAGCAAGGCTACTAATTTCATTGCAATTTTTTAATCTTGAGTTTCCGAATGATCTGGCTCATTTCTCTGTGCGTGGTGAAATCTGACATGTTTCTCGCAGTTGGTGTGTTAAGCCAATCTCTTATACAGTGTAGCATATCTCGTAGACAAAGTCGATATCCCTAGGGATTAGCATTTGGTTTCAATTGATTTTCTAGATGATCTGCTAAAACCATAGACTTATCTTTGTCTGTAAGCGCAGCAGGATTACTCTTGCAGATTGGGATGGTGCATGCATTTTTCTTTTTAGTCCTCCAGTGAATGACCAGAAAAAACCACTCGGGGTATCTAGATTGAGGATTTTCTCTTCCCATTCACCTTTTCTGAAATTATTAATCTCGTTTTTATTATTCTTACTAATCTTGTTAAGTATTTACTTTCTTTGATCTTCTCTCTGAATTTCGCAGGAAGTCCGTCAGTGTGCTGCCCCAAAGGAAGAGGGAGATATTTCATTAACTTCTGAGTGGATGGGAGGAGGGATATTATCTACGGCATTGTCTACGTCACACTGGATTTAAAGAGTCTTAATTTCCAGTGGATGCTTGCGGAGAGTTTTGTGAAAAACTTCCAGTGTGTAACAATTTTGTAGAAGGGATTTTTAATTTTGGTAGCACCGAGTGTGATTAAAATGGGCACATCATCCTAAGTGAATTCTTGCTTGACCTCAAATCCCGTAGGAATAATGGTGTTAGTTAAAATCAAGTTAAGAATCATAGCTTTCTTAGGATTTTCAGGCCGATATGTGGAGTCATCCGGAACATAGACAGAGACCAAATAATTTAAGATGAAATTGTGCAGAATTTCTCTGTTTCTGTTAGAGCACTTACACCCTCAGCAGTAATTTACAAGCGTGCAATATACAAGACTAATGATCATGTGGGTGGGCGTCCACCCGAGTAGTGACTCCAGCCATTGTTGCTTAAGAATTGAGTCAAGTTCAGGCAGTGCTTCATAAAAACAGCAGTGGCAAATAAGAAAAAAGCAAATGGAGATTCAGGAGAATAATGGGAGCAAAACACATATATACATATTTACATCGCAGACAGTTCAGCAGTAATCTGCGCGGTGCAAAATACATAAAGAAATAAACACGTGAGCTGGTCCCCCACCCGGATTGTAGCTCGCATGGTTGCTGCTTAAGTATACAAACTTTCAGTACTGATTAAATAGGGTTAATTAAGTATAAAAACTTTAATTAGCACTGATTATGTAAGCAGCATAAGCGCTAAGCTATTTATCTTCATTTAGTATTTCCTAGCGGAAGGCATTGAAGTAATTTAGATGGTCGCAGTTCTGTGTGTTGTATAGATTTGCTTGTTGTCTTTGTGAAGGAATTTCTTTAGTGGTTGTCTTTAAATACTCGCTTAAAAGATTATCTCGGACATAAAAATGTGAGTTTGGGATTTTTCGTAGGAATCTATTTTCCAGAATTTGCAGTTTTTGCAAGTCGAAATCAGTAGTTGTAGCCCATGCCAGCGGAGCGTAGGTCATAATTGGTCGAATGATAGGCAAGTAAATCAGTCCCTTTTTCGCTAAGTACATATTGGAGTATTTTTATACTTAAAAATGTTTACAGCTTTTTCTCTAAAATGTAAAATATAAGGAGTCCTCGTGAGTTTGTGATTTAGGATGATTCCCAAATACTTGGCTTCCTAAACCACTGGT